CTGATGCATGTCTGAACTGGTGAAGAAACATGCATTTTAAACAAAAATGGTTTAATTTAATAAATAATTTTAAAAAATCATTAATAATCGAAAAGGATTTCTAATCAAATGAATTTATAAAACTTTAACAGTTCAACAATTTGTTAACATTTTAACAATAATAGTGCCCTATAAAGTATTTTTTATATTTTCCAAATTCTGTTTCCCATTTAATTATTCTGGATTCAGTTTTAACAGTTTAATTTAATTTTACTAAAGCACTAACTACAAAAAGGATTTCTAATCAGTAGAATTCATAAAACTTTAACAATTTATTAATGTATTAAAATGTACATTTTTAACAATAATAGGGCCCTATGAAATGCGTTTTATTTTATCAGAAATGTTTCTATTTTATTTTGTCTGGATTCTGTGTTTTATGATTCAATGCAAATTACAGTATTAGCAAAAAAAGTGTTGATGAAATGAATGCATTTAGGATCATATCAGAAGTGCCTTGGGCCTTATGGTATCTGTTTTATTTTTTTCCAAAATTAATAATAAAAAAGGATGTGTAATCAAATTATTATTATTAAATTATTATTATTATTATACAATTATTAAACATTTAAAATTGTATATTTTATTAAAATTTTAACAATAATAAAATTGATATATATTATTATTGTTATTATTACTTTGATAAGTACATTCTACTATACAATACTCGTATATTTCTGTCATAATTTCTTCAGGTAAAAACAAACTTGTTTTGGGTTTGTAATGAAGACCTTTGAGTTTCTTTTTGTATCTTACAATAGTTTTTATCAAATGAAATGGAGAAATTCTGGATATTACTGCAAAACTAAACAGTGATGGATGAATGGATGAATGTAAAAACTCCTCAAGGTCAGCAGGGATGAATATGAAATGATGTATCACACTAATGAGCTGTAATAATGGCTGTTTAATGTCATGGCAGAAGAGCCTCAGGATCTGCTCCGATCCGATACATATTCTGAAGAGTATGGAACAAATTGAATAAAGCTGTTATTGAATAATGTTTTGTAAAGCCTGAAGTTGTGGTTTATTCCTCACCCAATTCTTTAATGCTCTGAAACCCCAGATGAAGGGAAATACTGGCGTAAAGCTTTTCTCCAGGTGTTATAGATGTTATTGGGTGCGGTTTTGTGTACCGGTATGTCGGTATGTTGTATGAATATGTCATGCAACCACGAAACATTTATTTCCCTTACAAACATTTACCATGGAAATCGATTTCTGCCAAAATAGTTGCCACAGTTATTGTCTCTGCAGGTCATTTAACATTAGCTTTCACTGTCATCAGTGAGCTTTCAGTAATTACCAGTCATTGTTTAATTATTGACATCAGTATATGATGAATTTACAATACTCAGAGCATCTGGATTGGTATTTTACCATGATTTTGTGCATTTGTGTTGCATAAGTTTTAATTCAGATGCCATAAAAATACAAAAGTGCATATATGTTATGCTTAAACTTATAAATTAAAACCATTAAAAAAAAATCATTATTTGAAATAAAATTGAAATTAAATATATAAAAACATATTTCATCATTTTTATTTTTATTTCATTTAACTTGATAGACTAAAACTGAAATAAAATCAATAAAAATCAATAAAATAGAAAAAATGTATTAAATTGATTCTAATTAATTTTATTTATTAATTATATATAGAGAGAGAGAAGGAGAGAGAGAGACATAAACAATTATATTAAAAGCCATCCAAAATATCCATTCCAAATATAAATCATAATCCTCAGATTTATTAATATTTATATATATTTGCGTGTGAAATGACGTGTCGCAGGAGAATCATTCTTCCATTAAAGTAATTTAAAGGGTTAGTTCACCCAAAAATTAAATTAGCACATAAATGACTCACCCTCAAGTCATCCTAGGTGTATATGACTTTCTTCTTTCAGGCGAATCCAGTCAGAATTATATTAAAAATTGTCTTTGATCTTTCAAGCTGTTTAATGCCACTCAGCGGGTGTTGCATTGCTTCAGTCCAAAAGAAGTTAAATAAAAAGCACACATTCATTAAAAAAAAAAGTGTCTCACACGGCTCATAAACAGCTTGAAAGATCAAAGACAATTTTTTATATAATTCCGACTGGATTCGTCTGAAAGAAGAAAGTCATATACACCTAGGATGACTTGAGGGTGAGTAATTTATGTGCTAGTTTTAATTTTTGGGTGAACTAACCCTTTAAGTGTCCAAAAGTGGTTGCAAATGGATCCTTTTGATGGAGTGCATCCACGCTGCTCTATTTTTGGCAGGTTTATTTCTATGCAAATACAAATGCATGCATCTACTTAATGCCATCTGAATGCAGATGAATCCGTCCCAATTACATGTGAAAGTGACCCTGTATGACCTGAGATCTTCAGATAGCATTAACAGTAGAAGGGTAGGTATTGCATTGATCTGAGCGGCACAATTACACAGTCAAACCCTCAGATGAGCGGCTGTCAATCATCAAATCTCATCATCCTGACGGATATGAGCTGATATGAGCTGTGCTTCACTGCTGCATGACTTCAGTCCGATCTGAAATGCTTCTTTCACGTCTGAAGTTATCAGCTGTTTCTCTCATGCATCCCCCTTTTCTTCTAAATGTAATCATTAAGAAACAAGAGCTGTCAGATTGTCTATTAGAAGTGCTGCTGATGTGGCTTGTGTGTTTATTTTAATGTGTGCATCTCAAAAAAACTTGTCAGAAAGTCTGGGTCATATTAAAACAAAATCAAAGGCACTGGCAATTAAGTTACATATTTTTATTTCGCATGTGAAGCATATTAAGACTTTTTTAGGACCATTAGGATTTTCTGTAATTTTACTTTCTTTTATTGAAAATTAAGCATAATTCTCCCCAAAGTCTTATTAATGAAATGTGCAAAAAAACAAAAAAAAAAATCATGCTCATTATTAATAACGAGAGAAAATGAGTGATAGAGGATTGTTAAAAGTATTATTAATTTGTGGTAGAATTACAGCATATATGTTATTTTAAAATAGTATTTATTATTATTTAATTTACATATGAAGAAAGTAACACTGAAAAAAAATCTTTTAAATAATTTCATTTTATTCGTATTGAATTTGAGCATGTGTGTACACACTCTCTCACACACACACACACACACTCACACAAACAGCTGAATAACGAGATTCTAGAGCAAACGAGGGTTGCTCTTGTAATGAGAGTGGTTTGGATTGTGTCTCTTGGCTGTTTGAACACTGTCCTACTTTATTTTCAGCCAATATTTATCAGCACAGCAGGAACTTCTCAGATGTTGCTCTTTCATTGCTCGATGGAGTTGTCATGTATGTTGTCAACTTTCTAAGATATTTGTCTCTTTAGAAGAATTAAATATAGACACAAACGAGTACAGTAAGCGACTATAATGTGGAGATGTTTTGATCTTGGAATAAATGTAAATGTTTGCGTTCAGCCTGTGGTCGTTTCCTCCTCAGACGCTCTGAAGCATTTATATCTTCTACGTTTTTTTTTCCTTTATCTCTCAGGCCGTCAGCACGATCACTTGGATTATTTTGTTAACAGAGACTTTATCTATATGAGTTTTTTATCAAATCGCAGTGGCTGTGAGTTCATGAAATAAATAAATAAATATGTGCACTGCGTGGTGTTTATTTACACGCGAGCACCAACCATCTTCCCAAACTCGTAATGAGAAGTGCTAATCTACAAAAAAATAAGCTTTAAGGTCTAATTTTGATGGTTTAGCATTTGAAAATCAAGAAATTAAGACAGCCATCATTATTTTTTATAGTTGCCATGTATATTTTTCTTAAATACTATTTTTTTGTTTTACAATTAAATATTAAATTATTATTATTATTATATTTTTAATATTAATAAGTATTTTTATGATTATTTTGTAGCCATATTTATATATAAGCACAAAATGACTGATATTATAATTGACTTAATAGAATAACATGCACTACAAACCTGGATTTTTTGCAATCACAATTTTTATCAGAAAAACACTTGATTTATAGTTAAAAACTACAAGTAATATTTCTTATTTTTTATATAATTATTATTTTAATAGCGTCTTAGGTTGTATTATTATTATTATTATTATTATTATTATTATTATTATTTTGTAGCCATATTGATGTAATCACAACATTTTGGCAAAACATTTTTTATTTTACAGTGTAATATTGAAATAGTAATAATATTTCCTATTTTTATAATAATAATAATAATAATACAGCAATATTAATATAAAATCATAAATGTAGGCCAAATTGTGTAAATACTCTTTTTGTTATATTTTACTTTGAAATGTTAAAATAGCAATAATATATATTATTTTCTTTAATAATAATAATAATTATTATTATTACTATTATTATAGCCATATTAATATATATAGTCACAACATTTTGATCCCCCCCCAAAATCATGCAGCCCTAGTACTAGAAATGATTACACTTAAATAAACTTTAAATTCAAATCGAAAACATATTCTGTGGTAATGAAACTAATGACAAGTAGAGTTTTTCTGTAGTCAGTTTTAGCATGTCTCAGTGCATTGGTGTATTTATCGTACATGTCACACACATGCACAAATCATTCATTGCATCATAAATGCGCTTTAGTTTCTGCTGACGGTGCAGGCGTATTTTCGCTGTTGTGTGTAAAAGCGAAGCGTGATAAAATCCGAGTGCTGATGGTACGTTTTCAAGTCTTCCACACTGACGGATCAAAATAATCCAATTATGAAAATGAGCTTATTTTTGCCCTTTCTCTCTCTCTCTCTCTTTCTCTCTCTTTCTCCCAGTTGTTCTGGGATCTAACCGCTCTTATCAGTGTGGGCCGCTGATTTTACAGCGAAACCAAACCGTTGATCAGCGATCTGCCCTGAAATAATGAGAGTGCAGAGGAAGCCACAGCTTTCTTTCTCTTCGTTCATATTCCTCCGTTTTTCTCCCACAGGTTTCTGGAAAACTCTCTGCTCAGCGCCGAGGTGAAAGAGGGAGAGATTCTTCCTCCGACCATCCAGAAGCTGATGAAAGGATACAACAAATACCTCCGGCCTTTCTTTGACAGTAGGGACATAATGAATGTTTAATGCATGCATGTGTGTACTGTATGAGGGCTGAACGGCACTTTACTCCCTCACATCTTCATTCAAAACAGATTGATTGATGCTCCATTATGTTACACATGCAAATGAGAATCGAAATGTGATTAAGCCACAGTATCATCAATCAGAACGCGAGAGCCATGCATAACATAACAGCGAGATTCTCTGTAAACTGTTGCTCCACCATGACTGTAGATCATCACTTTTTATGTGAATTCCCGCTATAGCGCCCCTTGTGGCATCTCTGAAACATTACAAAATGTAATGACGCATGCGGTCGAGCTTGCATTGCTCCCAAACCCATATGCGTACTCACGTGTTATTTTAGTACAGCTGATATACTATTATAATTTTTTGTTAATATTTTGAATTAGATTTTATTTTCATATTCTCTGCTTTAGTTAAAGTTTTAGCTTCAGTTTTAGCTAATTTAGTTCATTTTAGCTACAGTTTTAGTAAGTTTGTTGTGTGTTTTTGTCTTTTTTATTTTTATATATATGTCTATATAATTTGTAAGTTTTATTTTTTAGTTTATTTAGCTTTAGTTATTATAGTATGGAAGCTTGTTTCTGTCATAGCATAAAAAAAAATAAAATAGCAATTCAGTTTTTATTTCTGTTGTTGTTGTTTTCTGGAATTGTGAGATATGAACTCACAATTTTGAGTTTACATCTTGCAATTCTGTTTTTTTGTCCACCAGGGAATAAAAATTCTCAGAATTCTGACCTTTGTTTTCGCATCTGAATTTTAAAAAAGTTGTCTTTTTTTATCTTGTGTCAAAAACAAGCTTCCATATTTAGTACTTTAACTAGAAGTACTTAAGGAAAATAAAATGTTGCATTGACAACTAGCTGAAATAAAATAAGTTTAAGTTTTTTGTTAATGATGTTTATATTTTGAAGTGATGAAAATTATTTAGTTTTTTTCAGTTTTAGTTACCGATAATATCCCTCTCACACACAAACCAGATCAACCTGAGACCCTACAGCAGTCGAGACTAATGACTAGGGATGTGCCTGAATAGTGAATCCGAATTCGGAAAGGCACAGTAAACGAATAACGTGTTCTACAGAAGCCCTAAAAGGAATAAATACGAGATGGGAGGAAAAAAATATATTTCAATGCTTTCTCTCGCAAGTACATCGTTGGGTAATTACACTGTATATAAACTGTGGGAATCAGGAAGCTGCTATTAATATGCGGGGCATTGAAATCGCTTTTGAATGCGCGCTCGCTTTTTACTTTCACTTTTCGAGATTCACGATCACACGTACTCTGTGTAAACTACTCCTCCTATCAGTCATCTCTCCTTACTCTGTTTATGTGGTAACTGAAATTGTATGTACTGTAATGTAACAGGCTACTGCTAGCAAGCGGCTAACCATGTCCCTCCATAGAACGCACTATTCGTTTTCTGTGCCTTTCCGAATTCACATTCACTATTCGGGCACTTTAATAAAGCAGCAAGCGCACACAGGTTAGAGAAACACAGTGAATCCATCTCTGTCTCTCCTCCTGTTGCTCCTGCTGTAAATTATTGATGAGTTGAGGACTGTTTTTTCATTCATTCATTCACTGTTTCGCCACCAGTGTTGAGGAAGCTGCTTTGAAACTCTAGCATTTCAAACAATTACCCTTTCAATTTAGTAGGGATTTTTTGCAATGTAATTGATTAATTAGAATGTAATGTTTTGTCATAATGTTATTATTTTTTTACATTGAAGGATCATGGTTTTGAATGAAAGTATTAGCAATGGCTAGAATTAGACAATGTGCCAAAATAAAAAAAGATCCAAGTGCATGACAGCGCGACTGATGAACCGCTCATGTCTGACCCATTTTGGGGAAAGTTACTTTTAAAAGTAATGCATTACAATATTGCGTTACTAATTTAGTAACTAATTGCGTTACTTAGTTACTTTTTATGAAAAGTACTGTGTGATGTTACTTTTGCATTACTTTTTCTCATCTGGGCTGGGCTTGCTTGTTTGTTTTTAATATAAAAAAAGTTCTGTTTTTGGAAAATGCAAAAGCCCTTTCACACCGAAAGTGAAATGAATGAGCCTCAGAGTAAAGGAAATGTACAGTAACGTCTGAGCGGCTGTTCACACAGAATACGTTTGTGCTGAAAAACACGAGACGCAGCAGTGGAACGTGAAAAATGCAACTGCAAAAGATGCGAGACGTGAGCGCAATGGACAAACACGTTCATCATGAAAAACAAAATGGCAAAGCAAAAACCTGCGCAGAACTACTACTGTATGTCTGATATTTCATGTTTGCATGGTTCTGTTTTCATTTACTGTTAATAATCGCTACTACCGCTTTCATACTGTCAGTCGTTTTTGAAGAGTTTTTGAGGGAAAGATATTCAACAAGTGAATTTGTTTTACATTTACACCATGTTGAGCACTTCATGTGTGCTGCAAGTGAAATACAACTTTGCAAGTTTTTAATAAAGAGAATGTTATGTTTTTAAGTTAACTATGTAATCCTTAAAAAAAAAAAACGAAATTGGTAAAATCAGTGAAACATTCTGAAAAAAAAATCGAGATTTAATTTTTTGCCATATCGCCCAGCCATAAGCTAGACTTTAAGCAACTAACAAAAGTATTCCTGTAACTCAGACAGTACAGCATGGTGCTAATAACACCAACATCATGAGTTCGATTCCCGAAGAATGCATGAACTAATCAAGTGTAAACCTTGAATGCAATGTGAGTCGCTTCTGATTAAAGCATCTGCCAAATGCATGAATGTAAAAGCTGTTAAATGAGACAAAACTCCAGTTGACTCCAGTATGATATGAAATCAATCTGCTGTTGATGTCCAATCATTTGCATCTTTGCATGCTCCCCGTCACACTTACAGCATAATGCATTTCTGGTCTCAGAGTAAAATGCCTTTCTGCTCACATCTCTCGCAGTGTGTGTGAAGTTTTGCTGTTGAATCCATAGGGAAAAACACTTCAATAACACGGTGAATCAGGCGTCTCCTCTGGAGTCATTGCCTAGTTTGAGTGGTAAACAGCTGCTGTTTTATGTTGACAACACAATTATGTGAAGAGAGACGTGTGTGGACAGCAGCTCAAACCATCAAACCAAGTGTAAAAATAGCCATAGAAAGAGCAGTATGTGTCAAGAAAACCATGAGAGGAAAAATATTGAATTATTGCCTCCACTCCATTGTTGCGTTCCACTGAAGTCATTGCTATTTTTCGTTAATTTGTCCCTGTTCACCGCATGTTCACCCCCGTCATCTACTTCATTCTGTTGTAAAGATTTGCGAAGAAATAAAACACATGCTTCCCACATCGTTAGCTTTAATGAGCAGAGAGTTTGGCTCGCAGGGTTTCCGTCTTTAGCAACGATTCTCTGAATTATGATTACATGCCTTCTCTCCATCTCTGTTCTGCAGATGGTCCCGTCACGGTGGGCATGAGTTTAGACATCGCCAGTATTGATACCATTTCAGAGATCAACATGGTGAGAAACAGAGCACCCTCACACACCACATCAGTTTACATTAATGATGACTCGAAAACTCTTATCTGCTCATTAGTGAGTATTATTTATTTATTTATTGCTCATACTTGAGATTAAGGGGCTTGTTCAAGTTATTGACCTTAAGTAATACATTTTTCCATACCAGAATTATTATTATTATTATTATTATTATTATTATTA